GGCCAGCACGAGGGACACCTGGCCAGCGTGAAGGGACATCTGGCCAGCACGGGCAGCAGGGAGCCTTACCTCTGCTGGGCACCTTATTCCTGAATCCGGGCACGGGCTGATGTCTGTACTGGTGTGTTCCCAGCTCCTGTGCAGGATTAGCAGTTCCTAGCAAAGATTCGGGGTCCCCGTGCCCTCCTGCGCTTACGAGCAGAGAGGTCTCGTGGCAACCTTTGGTCAAAGTGTTTGAACTCTTACTGTCAGGAAAGCTGTCCCTGTTTCCCTCGCAGGCGCAGTCCTCCTCCATGCTCTCTGAGTGGAACAGGGCTGGCTGGTGTCCGTACCCCTGCGGCAGTGCCACGGGCGCAGGGACCTGCTGCATACATTCTTGCGCCCTGATTTTTAAGAGGTGCTGAGGGCTGTTCTGGGGGTGGTAGGTGTCAGCACTCTGATAAGGCAAAGACAAGGACTGGCGCTCCGACAGGCTCTGTCCCACGCTGCTGCCCATGTTCCCGGCGTCCCCTTGACTCATATGCCTGAACAACTCTTGGAAATCTTGCTGCTGCTGCTGCTGCTGCTGCCGCCGTTTGATGAGCTGTGCAAATTCTGCCTGGGGCAGCCTCATGTCCGTGTGCCCCGTGAGCGAGTGCCGGGGGGAGAGCAGTCCCTGGAGGATGTGTGGTACCTGCTGGTGTCGGCTGTAGTCGGGAGGTGTCGGGGACAACAGTGCCTGCTGTAGTGCCGATGCCGTGTAGTGCTGCTGCTGCTGATGTGCGTTCTGAGGGAAACTGGGATACTGGTCGAGCTGTGGGACCTTCAGAGCTTGCTGGGCTGGAGGGAACCCGACGCCTCCCGATGGGCTGTAGTTGCTGGGGGAAACACGGGGCTGCTCCGGGAACAGGTGGGGGTGTAAGTGCACCTGGTCGTAGTTGGCAGGGGGATACCTGTTGGTGTTCAGAGGGCAAAGAAAAGGACAAGTGACTGTGCTGCAGTGGCTCAGCACACCAGGCTGTCTGCCCTGCTCAGAGCTGCTCCTGTGGCACAGCAGCACTGCAGACCCTCCTGGCTCAGGGCAGGGAGGCAGCTCAC